ACTTAAGAGTCCTATAGTCTCGTGTAAAGCTTCCTTATAGATTTTGCCATAATGCTTATGTATATTTGCCTGAGTATAGCTAGGCACTCCCTGAGCAGCACTGAGCAAAGATGCATGCTCCCTGAGCCGGACTGAGTCTGCCTGAGGAGGTCCTGATGTAACCCTAAGTTAGGCCTGAAACAGGCTATTCTAAGTAAGGATAGGAAGAAGGCTTGAATAGAGAAAAATTACTTCTATACTATGGTTTTACGCCCCTAAACAAAATCTAAATCCAAACCTATGCTCTATGCTAATCTCTCCGTCTATTGCCTTTGTCTATCTATCCTCTCTGTCGACGGCTATCCCTCTTGTCAATCCTTTACCTGCTTGTCTGCCTCTACACCCTCGTAATCCAATAAAAATCTACCGCCAAACGACTCGTCTCTATCCTGTGCAACCCTTCTCTTTGATCTAAATATCTGCCTCTTGCCTCTTGCCAAATACGTACCTATTCCTCCCCATTGCTCTACTTGAACTGCTCTTGCTGGTCCTGTCAATAACGACTCTCCCTAACGTTCTCAAAAAATGCTCTCCCTAACCCTCTTCAAATCCGGCAACCCTAACCCTCTCAAAAAACAACTCTCCCTAACCCTGTCGCCAACTACTCTCCCTAACCCTGTCGACAAACCCTCACCCTGTCGCCAACAACCCGCTCTCAACCTGTCCACAACTACTCTCCCTAATCCTGTTGAATCAAATCCTTTTTTTCATTACCGTAACTATCTATTCTTGTTCCCATTCTTTGTTTTCTATTGCCTGCTGTGTTCGTGGTGGCTGATTTTACTTTTTTTCCTGGTTCTACTACACCCTTAAATTTGCTAAAAAAACTACTCTTTTATTCCCCATTATAAACTACAACAACTCAATCTAAAATTAAAATCGCAACAACCTACCATGACTTCTACACTACCCTTCTCTACTTCCCGTACTAAATCTACACTGGCCTATCTACTACCCTGTTCAATCCTTTTGCAAATCTGCACTACAAACCAACTCATCTTATTCCCCTCAATCCCTCCCCATCGCTTCTTCTCGCAAAACCATCGAATACACGCATCCATCCTCGGCCCTGCTTCGTCCTCCTCTACCGTACGCGCTACCCATCCGTCCTCGATCATGGCCTCTTCCATCATGTCCCCAAATATCTGTACGTGGCGTGCACCCATCGCCATGACCGTGCCTACCAATACCCCTTCGTGCCTGCATCCCTCCCCCCTTATCTTCCTAAATCCTCCTGTGTGGATGTCCTCTGCAAAACTGTTGCAAATCGACTGCGGCAATCCGCACCCGAAACAACATGAATATGCTGCCCACACCTTGCCCTTCTCAAATTCCCCAATTCCCCTTCGAACCGTCTCGGCTCCTGGCCGATGACACTCTTCAATCCCATGCCCCTCGGCGGCTTGACCCCATGCTCGACACCGAACGCATCCAACTCCCCATCGTTCCATAATCTCCATCAACTCTTGCACCTCCATCGCGGCTCCACTCTGCCTCTCTGTCTCCTGGACGGCCATCGTTCGGCGAATCGACAATTGCTGTTCGAATTCTGCTCGTTCTACTTGCTCTCTTCGACTGGCTGGACATGGCGTTACGACGGTCCACCCCATGCCATCCCCTTCTCCTTCGGCTTCTCCCTCTTCCACCCTCTCTACCTCTTCTTCGGCCCCTGCCCCTGCCTCGACCTCTTCGTCCGTCCCCTCCACTCGTGTATCCTCCGTCGGCTCTCTTGCCCCGGACTCCTCCTCTCCCTCGTCATGCCACCGCGCCAATCGGCAACGCTGACATGCTGCCTCCCCCTCTTCACATCCTTCTCGATCCAATCGACCGTCCATCGCTCCATCCAATACCACCCGCATACATCCATTCCCGTCTATTAATTCCAACATCTCTTCCTCTACCTCCTCGGGCATCTTGTCCCATACTCGCCGTCCCCGGATCTCTCTATACCCCCTCATGATGATCGCCTCGCTCGCCAATCCATCCCGTCCCGCCCGTCCGCTTTCCTGCGAATACTGCCGGATCATTCGTATCACCCCGACATGGATGATGGCTCGAATCGACGGCGCGTCAATCCCCAACCCTAATGCATTGGTGGCCGTGAACACTTGCTGCTCTCCGCTGGTCCACTGTCGGACCAACTCCTGCTTCTCACGGCTGCTTCCTGCGTTCCGATGATAACACACGCACTGCAATGCCTCGGCCAATCCTACCGCTCGCTTGACCGTGTCGCAATATACAATAATCTAGCCGGGCAACGGGTACTTCGCCTTCAACCCGTCTACCAATTCCCTGATGGCCTCCTCCTCTTGCTCGGCGTCGTACGGGTGCACCCGGTACTGGACGTTCGTCCGCGTCGTCACGCCGCGAAACCACGCACACTGATCTCGTCCGGGCAATCCCATCACCTGGCCGAACAATGCTTCTTCCTTGGGCCGCATCGTCGCGGTCAAATATACCATCTGCGTCTCGGCCATGACCATACTCCGCATGGCCAACATTCGACTGCGCCACCCTTGCATCGAATCCAACACCACATGGCACTCATCCACGACGATTCAATCCAAACGGCCCATGGCTCGCTGGCGGTTGATGAAATTCCCAAATGCCTCGCCCACGGCCGACTCCGGCGTTACCAACATCACTTGCGCCCATTCGTGCGGTCGCCGGCTGTCCCATACGGCACACGATATTCCCAATTTCTCGCACCGGGTCTTCATGTCGTCCCGTAATGATACCAACGGAACCACCACCACCGAAACCCCGCTGGACACCGCTGCCGGCAACATGAACAATATGCTCTTGCCGGCCCCTGTGCCCATGATGCAAACCACCGGACTCTGGTGCTGCATGATGGCGTGCAATGCTTCCTTCTGCACGCTGCGGAACTCGGCCTGCGGTCCTACCATTCTCTTCAACTCCTCCCTGGCATCCACCAATCGCATCATCTTCCATCGTCGAAACTCCTCGGCCCTGGCCTCTTTCCGAACCACCATCGCCCGGCTGCCGTGGCGGACACGCTTCTTCATCGCCGACCCCATCTGCAAAAATTCATGCCACTCTCGGCTGGCTTCTCGCAATCCCAACCGCTTGGATTCGGTGCTGAACGTGGCTTCGCTGATCGGACGTCCATAAATCATGCCGCCCACCTTGCTCGTATGGCCGAACGCAATGTCGAATGGATCGTCTTCCTCGTCGGAATCATCTTCATCGGCTCGAATGGCTGCCCGTACGGCCGTCTTGTTGTCGATGTACTTTCGGAATATCGCCTTGACCCCGTGTCTCCACGACAATATCCCCAATGGGACTCCCATATATTCCAACCCTGCCCTTTGGATGGCATTCTTGACTCGATTGGTGTTCCACGTCTCTACCTGGTACTTGGCTGATGGACCATGCTGCGCTCCTGCCTCCTCGTCTCCTTCCACCTCTCCTGCTTCTGCCTCTCCTGCTGCTGCCGCTGCCTCCTCTCCTACTACTACCGCCTCCTCCTCTCCTACTACTACCGCCTCCTCTCCCTCTCCCTCTCCCTCCTCCCCTCCTCTGCCTTCTTCCGCCCTTCCTCGCCTTCTTGCCACTTGCCCTTCCGCTCGCCTGCGTTTTCGCCGTGGTTTGGCCCATGCCTTCTCTGGCTCGGGCTCCCACACATACGCACTGCGTGGCACGGCCTCTGGATTCATGGCTTGCTCCATCCTCTCCCAAAACGGCAATGCAAACCACAAATAATACACCATCAATTCCCCCACCTCTTGCGGCACGTATCGGTGGATGACCTTGCTCTTGCCCGTCGATCCAACATTCTTATGGTACATGGTCACGTACACCAACAACCCATCTTCGATGAAAATCCCTCGACTCTCTCCGTTGGCGCTGTTGCGGAATTGGACCGACGTCAATTCGGTCCCTCGCGCTGGGGCTCCCCCCGTCATGTGCATGCATGCTGCCAACTGCTTCCGCGCCGTCGCCATCGCTCGTCGATACCGAACCAACTCGTCCATCTTCCACACCGCCGCTCCTCGACCTGGATCGGCGGCCAATACGGCACGGGTGCGAACCATATCGATGAACCTCTCGGTCAACGCCCGCTCGCTGCCCACCCGCCTGGCCAACCATTCCTTGGGGTCGACGACGTCTACGGCTTCCCGATTCCTGGTATCCTCCATGAAACTCCATCCCGTCTTTCGCTCGGCTGCATTGTCTACCAACCGATCCCAATGGATGATGGGCAACGCTGTACCCCCCTTCCGTATGTCGCCCTCCTCATCCAGCGGCAACAACAACAACGCCTCGATGACGTGCCGTCTCGTACTGGCGATCAACCCGTGCACCATCGATCGCAACTGGGGCATGCTGAACCGGATGTTGCCGTACGACAACGTATCTCCGATCCAATCCACCACCCCCTCTGCGTTGGTGTTGAATCGAATGCTCATTCCGAATGCTTTCAACCGTTGGATGGCGTCCATCGGCGTCGGCTCTCCTCCGTACTGCGTCAATGTCATGAACCGGTTCACCATCTCCTGCACGAAATGGAAATGGCTGCGGGCCATGCTCTCTGCGTCCTGCACGCCCCATCCCTCTTCTCGCAACTTGGCAATCTGTTCCTTGCGCAACTGCGTCGATCGATACAACACCAACATGCGCGACGTGTTGACGATGGCGGCCTGCTTGGTCGTATACATCAACGGGCTCACCCATCCATTCATGGTGTCGACGCCTAACACGGCCATGGCGCTGATCAATCCATTGCTGTGCTCGTTGTCGCCGATGGGATGATCCAACAAATCCAACATGGGCCGCAACACGTACTCTTCTACCTTCTCCTCCTCATCTGGACCCAACTCGTCCTCCTCGTCCTCCTCGTCCTCCTCGTCTCGCCCGTCGAATGCGTCCACCCAATCGTCGTCCTCGTCCCGGTCTCGCCCAACGACGAATCGAATCTTCTGCAACCACGCAAATTGTCGGCCATTCAATGCATACGGCGGTCGCCGGTTCGTCGTCCCTCCCTCTTCCATCTCCTTCGGGCTGATGGGCGACATGGCGTGGGTTCGCCAAATGTATCGAATCACCTCCAACCATCTCTCGCTATACCGGATCATGGTCTTCTCGGTCTGTCGGGCATTGAACGGCTTCTCGTTGGTGTCGTTGCCCACTTCTCGTCGGTTGATGTAATTCATAGCCGGCATGCCCACTACGCTGGCCTGGGATGCCTGCTGGGCCTTCCATATCACCATCTGCGCCGCCCAACACACCTTGTCCAATGCCTTCTCGCGCCGTTCCGGTCGACGGGTCAACGACACCAACCACGCCCGATCGAATCCTTCCAAATGCACCGCCCACTGCGCCCGGTTCAACCACCGATGGAATTCGAATCGATCGTTGTCGGCCTCAATCTGGTCTTGCTGCTTCTTGGCCAATGCGGTGATGTTGGCTTTGGCATCGGCCATGGACACGCCAACGGCTTCCTGGATGGCTCGCTGTTCGGCCGTCATCTGTCCCTGTCCATCCTCGGCTGGGCATACCTCGAACAACCGCGCCAACGGACCGCGGGATTGGAACTTCTGGCAATGCACCCCCGTCCTCCACATGGTGCCAACGGGAACCTGGCCTCGATACGGTCTCCCTTTCCTCTGGCTGTTCTGCCAATCGTGCTCGTGCTGGCAATGGTACTGGATGCCTTGGATGGTGCGTCGCATAAACGTACACGGCATCTCGTCGGCCGTCGAACCCAAACACTGAAATCCATCGTGGAACACGGGCAAATGGGGTACGGGTGCGGAATCGGCGGCGGGCCATACGATGTCGCTCTCTTCGTCTGCCCATTCCGGGTGCTGGGTGACGGCCCATGTCGCCATGGTGCGTCTCGCACTGGGCAATATCTCCTTGTGTTTATTGTTCAAATGGGCATCGAATTGTGCCCTTACTATGCCTTGTTCATGCGTCTTACACACAACCATGCGGCTTACCGGGACGTACTCAAAATGGGCATGGAATAAAACCTTGGAGTCCTTCTTGCGCAACTCGATATAGCTCTAGTGTAAACTTTCTACAAACTATCTGCGCAGTACGTACTAACCATACTTCTTCTACCTGTCATTCCCCACTTCGTTTCCTTAGCTTGTAGTCTTTTCGTCTCCGGCCTAAGATTGCATCAGTTAAGAGCCATTCTTGGAGTTCTTTATCGGTTTCTGCTTCATGCTTTCGCTTCCTGCCATTGATATTGCTCCTTTGACCTTCCCGGAGAGCTTCGTCGTGATGGTCGTCTTCCATTGATTGGCGTGGCGCAAGCACTGTTCCGAATCCCAAACAAGTATGCCAATGCCTGCTGAGGTCACGATACTCGGCGCGTAGAGAAGCAACCTGGCCAGGCCCCTCCCGTAAGTCACGGGCATAACTGCCCCCCGCCATCCGAGAAGTGTGAGCAGCCTGAAGGTCCATCGCCTTGCTAGTCTCGACATCGCTGTAATCTCGTTTGAACCTACTACCCTCAGGCAGGTGTTTCCGTGAGATGGCAATGGCAGAGTGCCTCCACGTCAATATGTTAGCGGTCGTTTTTAAGCCACGTCTGAACTCTTCTTCAATCACTTTCCCAAGCTGGCTGCTCGACCACGGTTCGTCGCGTTCCACTTTCTCTTCATGACTTATCTCCTTCTGCCGTTTAGTCAGACGTACATCTCGGGGCCAGAAGAAGGAACCCAATGGACCTTGACCCGGCAATGGTGCGAGAACTAAAAGTTGCTCTAAGAACGGCAGTACTAGCCAGATGTAGTATACGACTACTTCGCTGACCTCGGGCGGCAGATATCTGTGTATGACTTTGGCACTGCTATGCAGGCTGTAGTTCTTGTGGTAAGAGGTCACGAAGGAGACAAGTCCATTTTCGACGAACATACTCCGCACTTCGCCACCTGAAGAGTTCCGCCATCGAATCGTCAACAGCTCCGTACCGCGAGCCGGCTGACCGCCTGTCATGTGGATTAGTAAAAGCATTCGTCGTAGAAAGGCGTACGTCGAATTCCAATATTGCTCTACCCGATTCAGATTCCACTGCAAGGTTCTTGGTTTGGCGAAAAATCGTGTGCATAATTTCGTGTCATCACGTATACGTCTTAGCAGCCAGCGCTCATGTCCCCCAAGCATTTCCTCGTTCCGTTGGTCTTGGAGAAAGCTCCATCCTGAATGTGACATGGTAGGATCGTCTTTGATGCGCGACAGACGAAGATGGGGCAGGATCGTTGCGCGCGTCTCAGGATCACCGTCTGGCAGCAGGAGCAAATCGTGCAGCTGGTCTTGGGCCTCCCGCACCTGGTCGCGCAGGAACCAGCGCATGTTATTCATGGTCAATTCGAGTGACTGGTAGGAAAGCTGTTGGCCATCATCGGACCAAGAGATGAATCCCAGACTGGTTGTATTATCGCGGATCTTCGCACCGTACGCGCGCAGATTGAGAATCCAGTTGATGGGAGTATCACTACCGTACACCATGAAACGATCCTGCATTTCGGCAATACGTTCACTAGCAAACTGTGCACGCCCAGCTTCATGTTCCGCCACTGCAAATTGCACGACGACCAGCTGGGACAGTTTGACGAACGCGGACAGGTTGGGCGTGCAGTGGACTGCTGGTACAAAGCCGTTGCACTCGCGGTTGATGCCAAGTACGGCCAAGAAGACCACGACTACGCTCTCTCGAATCGCATTGTGCAGTTTGTGATCGATGAGAGCGATGCAGAGTGCAAGACAGGCTTTTCGGTTGGATTGTAAGTGCGCGTCCGTCATGGGGGCATACGGCTTGGGAAGATCCGCCAGCGCTGCTGATTGTGCTATCGTCAATTGGTAGGGCAGAAGAGGACCCTGACGGAGCACGCAGGAGCGATAGACAAAACACAGCAGCTTGTGCCATACGACTTTGTATCTCCGGTACGTGCCCTCCTGGAGCTTGGTGAGAAGCGGACGCTTGAATGGACGATGGGGGATGAAGCTAGCTACACGATGCAGGGCAAACAGATTGACCTTTTCTTCCAGGATGGTCTCACGGGCGGCTTCAATCACGCTATCAAAGGCCTGCAGCAGGGTCGACAGTCCAATGTCCTGCGATCCCGGGGGTGCGAGTAGCTCTGCCACGGCAGTCAAGTCGTGCCCTTCCAGACACTTGGCCCATCCTGTCTTTTCGAGCCATGGGTCGATGGGTAGGGGATAACGGGAGGATGTCCCTGACGATAGCGGAGCTGGTCTGGACGATGCGTCGAGGAGGCTTTCGAGTCGCTCCCAGGCCTGCCGGCCGTTACCAGAACCATGATGGGAATCCCCATGATTTCGGTCTGGATAGCTGCTGTCAGCGGGCAGATCAATCATCCATAGGGATGAGCCAACTCCACGCGCTGCGATACGCTGGCAAGGTACGTCCGTTTCCCAGGGCGGCGCAACCGAAAGCTTCCGTGCACTCGGTCGTCCGGCCTGCTGAGGGTTCTGCCAGCTATGCGTAGTGCGACAATGCCGCCGAATGGCCGCAGTGGTTGCCAACGAAGTACTACATCGTGCTCCTGTCTTGACATCCGCGAACTTGCAGCGGTTCGCGCGGACGACGGGCAGTTCGGGGATGTGTGGCGACGGATCGGCAGGCGGTCTCCAGCTCTCCACGTCCTCTTCTGTCTGCAGGCGTACAGGATGGGTGGGCAGATGCGACTCCCTCCAGGCTTGTACAATTCGCCCCAGGTCGGCGCGGCGATAGCAATGGGGAACTTGACTGAAATGGTTGGGCACGCGGCATAGCGGCAGAACGACAGCGCAGACGCGACAGACGAGGAAGCAGTAGGGCTCTCCGATAGAGTACGTCAGATGGTCGAGCAGCTTTGCGTCCCAGGTAGAGGAAGAAGCAGAGACTGCTATAGCAGACAGAGTCGCCATTTACTCCAATGAAGCACGTTACGTCAGCACAGAGTGAGAAGGCACAAGAATAGGAACGATGGACGATTCAAGCATCATTGGCTGTGTTCGGCAAGGGACCAGGCTCGCGTCTCGTTCGCGTTAGTTGCAGGGGGTAAGTTCCTTTGCGGAGGACGCACGGGCGAACGGGCAGGGACAGGAAAATGGATTTGGGCAAATCCATTTTGGCATACCTGTCAAGG